AAATCTTTCACGGGCCGGGTTCGGGGCGGGGCATCCCCACCCCGCCCCGTGCCCCGCCCCGCGACGGGGCACCCCATATCGCCCCGCCCCGCCCCGCCAACCCCGTCGGGGCGGTTTTTTTCGCCCCATTCGGGGCGGGGCGGGGCGGTTTTTTTTGCCATCCCTACTTATACACTTCATAAGGAGTTGTTCCTACTTGTCATGATTGATACGCTGGACTGACGTTATTGTACAAGATTAAAGAAAATAGACTATGAGAGATGATTTTCTATTGTTGTATTACCAAAAGTGCTACGTGCCAATTTGCGATTGTTTGGTTCTTGACGAACTTGGCGAATTAAGATGAGAAAAAAGACTGTTGTATTAAAAGTGGGATAAGATTTGGTTAAGTGAAGCTCGACCTTGTTTATCTTGTTCCATGAGAAATTTAGGATATTAGTGAAACTCAAATTTCATTTATGCAATCAAAATCGATCCTAATTAATTGCTCCTTTGATGATTTTATGCTGTATGTTTAAATATTTATTTCACATTTGAGCAGGGTTCATCAAGGTTAAGAGAAATACCAGTGGTGATAATGTCATCGGAAAACATTTTGGGTCGAATTGACAGGTATTTTCTAACCACAGTTGCATCTATAATAATTGGATGAAACCATCATTATCTGCATATATTCATCAACTTTTATGCGTGTTTACGCATTGAAAAACACGATAAAGGATAAGATTTTAACGAATTTTTTTTAATCATATGGTCTTGTCCCGTCCAGCATACCATATATGCCTATTTGAGTTTGTGTTTTTAGTTTTTACCCTTGATCAATATCAGATTCCAAGTGCATAACGAAGTTGCACAATAGCTACTGATTAGTTAAACTACAGTCTTGATGAAAAAGGGAATAATAAACAAGAAAAGATTGAAATACACGCCGGTAGTTCCTGTAAAACATCTCGAGGAACATCAACATTTTGGTTTGGTCTTTGATAAATCTGTTCATCGACATGGCAAAAGCTCGTTATTTCAACTCTCTGATATCATGAATTTCTTTCATCGTACAGGTGTATGGAGGAAGGTGCTAAAGAGTTTCTTGTAAAACCAGTTAAGCTATCGGATGTGAGGAGATTGACAGATTTCATACTACAAGGTGACGAGGATCATCAAAAGGTGGGATCCCGTAAGAGAAAACTTTGGGATGTTCCACGATCATGGTTTTCCACCTCTTGCCAGTGATCTTCCATCGTCGCCCAATATGTACCACAGCAATCTCTTTTGAATTGTCCACGATTGTACATCCAGATTTTTACACTATTCGCTGTCATTTTTTATTTTTTTTCCAAATTCGACTTTATATGCTTAAAAGCTACTTCTACTTGAAATCATAGGATTTTTACACCAAAAAGAATAGACAGGTTACAAATAGATTGGAAGAGAAGATGTTCATGGTACGATTGTTCTTTTTCGCTAAATTTACCAGTAAAGACAGGATTTTGCCTTTTCGTGTCATCTTTCTTGATATATTTCTTTGCCCTTCAATTTTTCGTGAGTCAAAAAGATCGTATTTAGAGCTAATTTAGAGCAATGGAAGATAAGAGCAAATTATATATATTGATTCTTGAACATCAGATTATCTGTTCTATTTTGATATATTTATATTAATAGAAGAAACGACTTTTTGGATTGAACGAGGAGAAGAAATCGTAATATTCATGAAATTTGGGTATTATATTTATTTAAAGTGTATCATTTGCCTGGAAAATTCAAAATAGTATATAAAGTTGTTCCTCGTGTTCTTAGAAATTGCTCCAAAAGATGATTTAGATATGTTTTGCATATTTCTAAGCACGTTTAATTTATAAACATAACGCGATCCCAATAGAACGAGTTAAAAAAACGGAGAGTAGACTAAAACAGGGCTATCAGTATTCAGATGATATATATTGGGATGCAAGACAACGGAACATAAATCACAGGATAGAACTACTAGTGAACTTCAAGAACTAATAAGCATTCAGATGAAATATATTTAGGATATCTCCGAATATATGAAGTCAGTTACATCCAGTTTTCAATTATACGTGTAGATCTATATATGTGTGTATGTATGAGAATCAGTGGCTGCTCAGTTGCCTGCTCGACAATTCGTTACAGCCCGTGTCCGTGAAACTGGAAAAGATCTTCACTTCAAATAACAACTTTTGATGTGTAAAGTAACACCGTTAATTCTTGAGCCCCTAGTGAGTAGATAGAGATCGCAAAGGTATCTTTGACGACGCCTACTGTCATATGGAAACAGCTTCAACTAAATGCTCTCCGATATTCATCGCTCAAAACTGCATGACCAGTACTAGTAGTAGCATGTGTTGTTCTTATTAACCGGAACATCTTTGCATAGTACAGAACGAACTTCAATAATAGACCTAGGTGGCTCGAGGTCTTTTTCTTGAACCGAGTTTCCAAGTAACTGTTGCATCTGTGATGCAAACGTATCATCCAAAATCTGAAAGTCCAGAGGCAACAAGAATTACAAAACATCTCAATCTGGAAACTAGCAGTGTTCTATAAGCTGGAACATTGAGGATATGCTCGCTACACATGCATTGGATAATTCTATAAATAAAATTTTAACTTCTTTTTCTTCTTTCATTCATTCCAGTACTCTGTCCATTCCAACTTAGGAAACATGCCATTAATGTAATATATTCTCGTGAAAACTTTTTGTGTTACAGCTCGAAAAACATTATTCGAGTAACATCAATTTCCTTGTGAAACAAACCCACCAACATTATAATATCTGATGAAAAAAATTGGCGATAATGAGATCGGTACTTACAGATACAGCAATTCTTGAACCCTTGTACCATGCTTTGTTCTCTTTCCTTTCCTCCAAGAAGCTTTGAACATCCTGCAGCAGAGCATAGAATAAACGTAGGTAAGCTAAGTATAGGCTCCAAATGTGCAAGGGGAGTAGTGCTCCCTTGTTCAAATTTCACAATTTCCTTTTTCCTTTTTTTGGTATCCTTGTTAGGAGGTAAGGCCCATCGTCTTCCTCCATGTACATTTCTATATCAATAAACAGGTAGTGGATAATGTCAAACCCCCACTATATATATATATATATCCTGCAGCAGAGTAGGACTCGTGAATAAAACCATATTAAGGGGAAAGATTTTCTTATGAATCTTGAATACTTTACCTTTCCCATCCTGTCCCAATAACCTCGGCAAGTTGCAACAAACACATGAGACTCTAAGATCGTATGAAGATGATTGATTGTATTTATGAGTTGGTCCCTCAAAGGTTGCATTCTGCATTTAACATCAGATTCAGCCACAGCTTTCTTAGAATCCAGCAAAATTTTCTTCAATTTGGTACTTCCCTGTAATCTTGTCTGTGGCAAAAGATAAGAAAAATTCAACAAAATATTTGAAAGCAAAAACGAAATTGTAGAAGAAACTTCGTTTTCTTGATGGGTGATCAAATTTCAACTTTCTTCCTGTTGAGCACAACGATACATTTTTTTCATGTATACTAGATGTATCTCTATAAATTTACAAGCATGCATCTATTAAAAGATACATTGAATGCTTTTCTGTGGTGATGATCTAATGTACAAATAAATTTTAGCAAACTCAAGATAATTTGTGCGAGATGGTACTCACATTTTCTACAAGCTTTTCAACAACTGCTTGCAAATAATTCCGGAACTTTGATCTGAGCATCACAATAATTTCACTTAGACGCTCTCCAGGCGGAGCGTGACTCCTATCGGGGATACAGGAACCCCGTGACTTCAGTTTATGTTCAATTTTGGGACAAAGCACGTCAACCATTCTCTTCATAGAATTCAAAAGAATGCCAAGCTGAAATGAACAAAAAATTTCATTTAAAAAATGGATATGCACTAAAGTTATTAGTAAAATTAAACATTTACTCACCTCATTAGGTACTACGTAGGGGCATGTGGATCTTTTAGTGAACTCTTGGACGTATTTTAAAGCAGATTTCCTGGCTGTCTTTTTTTCCTTCAATGGCGCTAAGACATCTGCATATTGCTTTTCTAGGGCATCCAGAATTGCCTTCTCAATATCGGCAATGGCCTATTTCAGATAAAACAAATAGTAGATCAAATCACCATGAAAGTGTCGTGTCTAATAAATAATAATTAGTAGAACAAATCACCATGAAAGTGTCGTGTCTAATAGGGATATTTCTCCCTTCCTATCTGTTCAAATTACTTTGGAACTTAAACTCCCCGAGGTAAAAATTGTCAGATATAAGTTTTAAAGTCGGTAACATTTGTTGGCAAAACCAAATGAATAATACACATCAACAATATGTGAACCCCAACCATGCATGATATCTTCCATGAAATTAGATCACCCTCAAGTTGTATTACTATATATATAGATTTTCAAGGACAAGAAATTAGGAGAGGCATACATTTTCCAAAACACAAGTGTACTCCGGCCAGCGACATATGATGACATCATAGTCGTTCAAAGTTTCATTGAGGCGATCATACACGTCATCAATAAAGGGGGTCGTTAGATGTTGTGTGGTAACCCCGGACCATTTAACCTGCACGTTAATAACATTAATTAAGCATCAAAGTCATTGATAAGATGTGGAAACTTCTGCAAAGCTTCAGGTTATCATTAGTTGAAGTTTATTTACTTAAGCAATATGAAGAAAACCGCGGAAGGATAAGTTTTAGAGCATTTCATGTGTTTGTGATGGACACACAGACTGCACATGCTCAAGCACGCATCTATATAATGTACCTTGTCTAATTTACAAGACTCAAGCAGGGAGAGGCGCTTATCCTGTATCCAGAGGATAATATACAAATGGAACAATTCTTTTGCATCAACCCCTCCTTTAACTGGCCTGAGAAACAAGGGTTCAGTCATATACACCACTAATTGTGTGACAGAATCAGTAACAAAGATTAATCATGAGAATGTAAATACTTGATATTCCAGGTGGTGAGATCCTTTTGAAAGTCTGCAGTTGCAACAAGAAGTTCTGTAACATATGATGCAGGGCCTGGTGGAGGGCATGCAACAAGGAAGGCACGTAACCTACTGCAAAGTTCTGTACTGTAAACAGCCGAGGAAAGGTTTGGCAGGTCTATAAAACTGCAAAGAAGAAAAGCACACCAGCACATTAAAATTAAGAATATGAGAACAAAATCCAGCAATATCCTCACAAATATTTATGTTATTAATGTAAGTGAATAGTTTGGCTATGCGTGCAACAGTATAATAACATTATTTTGTCAGCATGATAAAGTGGGTGCATCTGTCAGAGCCATGCACCCCATTAGCGTGCATAAACATAAATATACATATAAATAGAGAAAGAAGCTCACTAATTTCATTACTCTATTAGAAAATTTTGCTTGTCACTGAAGCACTAGACCTTTCACTCAAGCCACAGACTTCTTAAAGTAATATTATTGACTACTGAGCAATAAAGGTTCTATAGAAGAACATAGGTGGTGATTGCTATCAGAAGCAAAATCTCATAAATAGGGCAAAAAAGTTGACATATTAATAACATTCAGACTCTATATCAATGTTCTAAAAGGCGTAATGCGTTGCGAGCCGTCGAGGTCGAAAATCAAGAATCACAAGTTTAGACGTGTAATACCCAGACTAGTAAAGGTTAAAAGATTTGATAGGTACTACTCATACTAATAAGGTGCACTTTCTTTTTTGGAAGTCCATCGTTAGAAACTCTACAGTTAAGCGTGCTTGGCTTGGAGCAATTCTATGATGGGTGACCCCCTGGGAAGTTTTCTTGGAGAGCATGGGAGTGACGATAAAGCATGCTGCATNGCGAGTGAGGACAAAGCATGCTGAAAAGACTCATGTTGGTACAGTGGGGACAGTACGTCGTCGATCTAACGGCCGGGACAGCCCGTTAAGTGGGACCCGGGTCGTTACAAGGCGTGTCAATGCGAAAAATTAGTGCCATTATGCATTTCGTATTTTTAATATTACTTTAATTAGGCACTCCTAGGCGGCGCATTATGCCGCCTTTTAGAACAGAAACGCATTTTTCACGCATACCCCGAATTCGACATGTTTTCCACCCGCATCACGCCTAGGCGGGCGTAGGCGGCGCATTTTAGAACATGGCTCTATATCATAACATTCACAAAAAAAATTATTAACTGAGACCAGATTTTGATTCCTTGCCAGAGAAAAAATCTTGAAAAAGAAAAGAAAATTCTACAGCTCCTAGGACTTGAGTCAGATTTCAAGTTTTACTTTGATGAAGAGCAATATCATTTACGCATGTGTAGATGGAGCACAAAAAGACATTGGTTAGTTAACAATATATGGTCTGCAGCTGCAGTTGTACAAAGTACCTATAACACAAATAAAGAGACGTACTAAGAAATGAAGAAGAGGGTAGAAAAGAGTGTTGGAAAAAATGAATACAATGGCTGACTTTGACATAAATTTTGAGTGGGACCCATTTGGTTATTTTGGAAGATCAAGATTGATTTGTGCTTTCCTCCATGAGACAATCAAAATCATATATTTACTTGCCAAAAATGATGCTCGGGTGAATGAAAATTAGAACAAGTAATACATTGGAAAATGTTTTGTATTAAAGAGTAACTAGTTTAAATTTATCTCACATAGGAAAATAGATAGAGGCATGACTACTTTAAATATAATTGCACTTTAGAAGGGTGTAATCGTGTGCAGTATAGAGGCACTCTTCACGTGTACGTGCAGAGGGAGTGCAAATCACAGATGGAAATAGGCTTTGGACCATGAACTTGTGTTCAAACGCGATCTGCGTACACGAATGTCGGATCGGATTGACCAAAACTTGGCCCTAGGAGGGTGCACGTTTTGCCTTTATTTTATTTTTCCTAAAACCTTTCAAATTCTTAACTCCTGAAACTCATGTGATTATGTCTGTGTTAATGGAGAGATTACCAGCTGGATTAACGGTGGTTAAATAACACAACTCCTGGCTGTTAATTCTCCATTACAGTCTATTTATTTAGTCATCTTCCTCAATTGCATACACATGAAAAAAATTATTTTTCTGCATAAAAGGAAAAAAATTTCCAGTCTGCATACATAATTTATTTTCGGTTAAAATCTTGGTGATAGATAGTGTTCAGATACTAAGTCAGTTCGCCGAAATAATATATGCAGTGCTCAAGACTCTCTGGTTTTTCAGTTGTATCTTGAGAAACGGACGCTCGAACTAAACCTCAAACACCTACAGTGAAGGGGCGAATATTTTTTAAAGAAACTGTGTTCAGGCCTCGGTTCATTCGATTAATTTTTTTAAAAAAAAAACAATTTAGATTACTTGTTCTATTTTATTGTAATTAATAAATTATTTAATTTGTAATAGTTTGGCTAACATTCGGTTATCTAGTGTCCGATATATGTTTATACGGTATTTCTATTAGTTGCATATCCAATATATGCTGCAATTCTGGTATGTGCAATTCCAATATGTATTGCAAATCCAGTATGCGTTCATCTGATATTTGTTAAACCGGTACTCATTCACTATTATTTTGATCTAACAAAGTGTACAGTGCCAATATTAATTATCCAAGTCTTACTTTGTAATGGTTTTATTTTATTTTTATGGTATTCTTTCACTTTCTTAGCGCTTGTTTGGATTTTTTTATAAGTTGCTCAAATTATAGTGATAGAATTGAGTGGTGGATAAGTGAGTAATAGTTGTGCATCCTAAGACATGTTGACAAAATTAGTATTTGACTTTGACCTTTAAATTATAACGAACTTTTAATCAAATCCAAACATACACTTAAAATAATGCCTAGGAGACACTAGTTGACTAGGCAATGGACCATGATGGTGATACCCACGCATCACCTAAGTGTTTTAAGAACTATAGATTAATGTGTCGATGCCGACAAATTCAACATGTTTGTACTTAACTAAGTCTCACACATTTCTTTTTGTTGAAATTTTAAATTGCATCTATGTAATGAAGAATATTAATTTCAAACGTGCAAATGTTGTAATTGAATATAACCACTTTGGAAAATCGTGAATATTAAAAATACAAGAAATATTATGATAAAACATACCTGGGAAGGATATTCTGGTTGTGGATCTCTCTATCTGTGAAAATTTCATTTCTGATATTCGAGCAATTAGATTTCATTTTCTGATAAGCAGTGGAAACAGTAACAGCATCCATCAACATGCTGTCATTACTGCCACTAACAAATTCATCTGTCTCGCTCAAATGTTTTCGTGCTCTTTTCTTTGCAGCGGCCTGTAAAGGAAAATAATCAATAAATGATAAAATAATTAAAATTGATTCCATAAATATGTCAATTATTTGCACCTGGAAGTAACTATATAGTTTCGTCTGCACCTCAGGAGCTAATATATCATGAAGAAGTGAATATAGTTTAACAGCAGGCTCTAGCACCGGTGCTGCAACTCCAGTAGCAGACGTGAAAACATCCAGAATCCCTGATGATGATGACTCATCCAAGGACTTATAATTTTCAAAAACAAGAGAGAAGATTGGTTCAATTTGGTCTTCAATATCCTTCAGAATTCGGTTCTGAAATAAAATGGGATTCAGCTTAAACACCGACATTTAACGTAGGAAAAAATTAAATAGAGGGCATCTAATGTCATTAACACTCCAATCATGAATGCAGAAAAGCAATATAAATGACTCGAAAATTTGTTTCTATGCTCACCTCTTGATGACTTAGTGCTCTCTTACAGTGGCCCTTCATCACTATAGGCAACAATAAATCGTATACCAGTGTAAGACAGTAAGCTGTAGGTGTTGCCACATCCATGACATAAGAAAGGTACCTGGAACAATTCAATGTTCAAGAAATAATGAACCTCATTGATGTAACAGTCGTATGGATAAAAAGGATAAAGAAGATATATATATATATGGCACAACTTAATTATATGGCATGGAAACAAAATAATAACACTATAAGCATCTGTTTACCTCAGCTTGGTGTATGCATGAGAAACTCCATAATATGATGCAAACTCAGTGAGTAACCACTTCCACGGGCCATGCAACAACAAATTTCGTTGGTGGAAATCCTGTATTTTCATTGCAATCTCCAATACCAGATCATATGCCACAGTTTCTGCAATGGAGCCGCACTATTAAAAGAACACAAAATGTCAAACATCAAATTCAAGACCACCAAGATAGTACTACATCATATTCTCAAAATAAATTATCAACTTTTTCTATATCATCTGATTCAGATCTCAGAGAGACCTTTCAAATGCAAGATTTAAATAAAAGGGAATATTCGGGTCCCCAACCTCCTGTGACAATGAGGTCCCGAACCTTCAAAATTTGTGGCAATCCAGGTTATAACCTTTCAAAACTGAGTGAGCATGGTCCTTACGGAACTGCTAGTTTGACCATTAAATAGTCAATTTTTTCTTAATAGGACCAAAATCGAGCATAACAACCCCAATCCTCAGAGAGAAATCTAACATCTCACCCTTTCGATTTCCATTTATACTCATTCTTCTTTTACTTATTTACTTCACGTCTTTTATTTCTTTATATCTTTTTTTTTTTTTTTTTTTTTT